ACGAGGTTAACGAGGGGGCGTGGCACACGGAAGGAGCGGACGACCGGGGCAGGACAATGTTGGGATAAGATCTTTATCGTTTTGGAAGCCATTAAGAAAAAAATGCTCTTCTTGTTTTATCCTGTTCATTTTGTGTTTAAATGATAAAATAAATAAATAAACATATTTAGGTGTAATTTTGGGAGGCCGAGAACCAATTATTTGGTTTTCCATTATTTCTTATGGGAAAAATTCAATCAGAACTCGAACTTTTTAGTATTCGATCCGGAGTCCGGAACGGATTAAGTTCGAGAACCGAGGTACCACTGTATTAATTTTTATTAATTCTATGATAAAGCAAATACCGTGATACAATGAAGTCAATGACTGTGTCCGAATTTAGAGGCTCCGGGAGGCGGTGTAAGTAGCCGTTTGTAGGCTGCGTCCTTCATAGGTTCTCTAAAAATCTGCACAATAAATCTTGGGATAGGTTTCGGCCAATATTTGTTAACTTCCTTACATTTGTCATGGTTATAATAGTAAAGTTACATGTGCAGGGATTAATTGTTATTATTAATATTATTACTTTTTTTAGAGTGTTCCTGTGGATTTCAGGCAGCTTCATTACAACACTTATAAATAAATGTTTCCATAAACGTTCGCAGTCCAGTGTTAACTGCTCACAGCGTCACACCTCCGCTCACGTCAGCTGCGATTTCTACAGCACATTCCTCGCCAAAGACTAAGCATTCAGCAAGCGATTTATTGCCAGCTCCGCCAGCCTCTGAAACGTGAACTGTTTAATTGTAGATGCAATTGCATTTTTAATTCTCATGACCATGTTCCAACAAAAGCAGAATACCAAGCCCTTGAGCACATTCCAGTAATTCACGTTCACCCTGGAGAGGGGACAAGGAAACTGGATCCACCGAATGGACTTGGCACGGATACCCGGGAATACCCTGTTTGGGTAACATAGCCCTCGCAGTAACTTCATCAGCGTGATCCCGAGTCCGCCTTTAAACACACTCGGGTTTCCAAGCTACAGAATGGCATCCCTGCTGTGACTTTGTGGGACTTTTATGATCCCTGTGGAGTGAGCGAGCATCTTCAGTGCAGACAGTGAGCAGGGAGGCATACAGCTGACTTGTGACTTCCTGCATATCGATGATTCACCACCACACACACATTAACATTTACGCTGATAACCTGGCCTGAACAAGAGGCCCCGTTTCCCTTAACTGCACAGGATTCCTGTGCATTTCCCGTGCCCATTCTCCATTAGCTTACTTCAGCCCCCCCCAGGGTAAAACTGTCACACATAGTTTGTTTGTTTCTACCCTGAACACCTGTTCTCAAAGCGACTTTGGCACGGTCCGCCGTCGGTTTTTTGCTGGCGAACCCAGAACTGTGGGAGAGGAGAGGAAAAAATTAAAAGCATCATTTGATGTGAGCAGGACGTGAGAGATGCGCACGGAGAGCCCCGGGTGGGGGCCGGCTCCCAGGGGCCCCCGGGGGACCGCTTGGGCTGGCGGCGCCACACGCTCCCAGAAGCTCCAGTGGACGTCCTTGCCAGTGATTTGCATAAGGATATACGACACAGGAGCTGCTGTCGCTTTACCCCCGTCTCGCTTCATATCACACATCATCAGATGGTGGCTTTGGTGGGGGGGCGGACAAAAAAAAATTAAAAGCATCCTTTATTCTCTTTTTTCTGTACAAAGCTTGCCTGCAGTCTGTTCACAGGCAGTAGAGAGTTTCTGCTGCAGAGACTGCGGCTCCCTTCGATTGATGGGACCTGCTTTATTTAGTGTTAACGCGGTTCGCCAGAACAGACCGTTTGCCTGGCCGAACGAAAGCTGGCCGAGAGCAGGCGACTGTAGGGGGAGGGGGGGTCTTCCCCGGCTGCATGTGGGCCTGCAAGATGTCCTTCGTTCAAAACGGGCATAACGGCGTCACACCAAGCTCTGTTTGGCTCTCTGTGAAAGTGGATAGTTCAAATCAAGCAACACTCAAAATTAGATTTACATTTTTGATTGATTGATTTAAAAAAATCCAGATTTAAATGTTTATCTTCTTTTGGGCAAACGCTTTATGTCTTAGAAGATAAAATATCTAACTCTGCATAATGCTGCTATTTTTAGTACTTTGACAACACCGAAATGCAAAGTATGGAACGCGTCGTATAGTATTGAATTTTTATGGGTCGTTAGTGTCTTACGTTAGCGTTTGAGCTCAGGATATTATACTGAGCTAAGGCAGTGCCTGTAATGGTCTCTGCAAGGTTAGCACATCGCAATAAACCCTGTACTAACCTTTAACCCCTTTTTGCATTTTAATTCATATTTGTTTTGTTATCGTCTCCATACGAGCATGAAAAGGCCCTGGGGGGTATTTTCTGATCAGTTCCCCCAAGCTTCGGTTTTGAATAATTCCATATCCAAGCCCAAGGAAGCAAAAACACTCCTTATCCATCCGTCCTCTTTATTCAGATTTAAAACGGGCCACGGCAGCAGTGTGCAGTTTTTCATTTAATCCATTGTAACATTTTTCCATATGATTTTTCCCCTCTTGAATGATGAAAACAGATCTGTGCAGTTTTTTTTTTTTTTAAATGTATGCAAAAATGAAGCACGTTGAGTGAGCGTTAAGTTTCGGCGTTACGTAACAAATGCAGGTTCTGTGAGCGGTGTAATCGGTTTTAAAGCGTCACGACTGAGCCTATCTTGGCTAAGTGCACGGGTGCCCAAACTTAAAAGCGGGAGAGAGAGAGTTGGGTTTCATCCCGAGAGCGATCCTGGTAAAGCTGCAAATGGGGAAGCTGAATAATTCATCTCCCTGCCTTTTTCCCCCCGTTACTCGACATTCTCGTTTTTCCTGCGACTTATTGTCATGTAAAACACTGTGTGCCGCTGCTGCCGCTGCCTTTCCGCTGTCGTGTCCTTCTGAGTATTGTTGACTTCCCTTCTGTTTACATTAATGGAGGTTTCCGAAGGTTTGTTTTCTACAGTCCTTGCTAGGAAGCACAGTGTTATGCGCTTGTCAAATCAGGGTTCAGAGTACCGAACGTAGCAGGAGTCTCTAGCTGAAAGGCGAAGCGAATATGTCTGGATCCTCTTCCTGGACCATCTAGCTTGTTCTCCTCTCTATGTGCCTTTTGCGAACCATCGCCAACTCAATCTTAACTTGGATAGGTGGTCCGGTGAACTTCAAACGGATCCGGTTGTTTAAGCACCACAGGTCACATGATGTCACACCGAAACGCTTCGCATCATTGGCTGCTGTCAGGAGCCACCCTCCAGGAAGTGATGACGTGGCACCACCTGTCAGCGTTGAAGCCTCTTGGGCAAAGGCGCAGAGAAGGTGAAACTGTGGGTCTTCTGACCGTTCATTCAGTGTAGCCTGGTGGTGGCTGTCAGGAATATGCTGATGAGTAAAAGCCATGAATCTCTCATGACCTGCCATGACGCTTGTGTGGATACGTCATGGCATGAGTTAAGCGAGGTAATAACGTGCATACAGATGCCAATGACCTCTGTGGCATGCCTGCAACAGCAGCCCAGACGAAGATGCTGACCCTTCAGAGCAAAATTTGCATATTTTCCGCTAAGCGCAACTTATAAAAATTCAGACGATGTTAATAAGCTGAACTTATGTGGCACAAAAACGAGCTTATTCTGTTGACAGCAGACACACGCAACATGCTACCAAAAATGTTTATCCCTAAAGTTTCAGATGAGCCTGGTATTAAATTGCAGTCCAATTTAAAAAAAAAAAAAAAAAAAGAAACAACACTTACAGTAAAAAGTATTCTAGACCCTTTGAATTGTTTGGAAGTATTTGTGCAGCTTGAGAAAGGCTTCAATTTAAGTGCGTTCCCTGTGCTCTCAGGCTGACTTCTGCAGCATAAATGGGCACATAATCACACTACCATAAATCTACACTCGAACGAATGCTGAAGGGATTATTATATGCAATTTGTATTAATGCCTAGCTGTCTTGGTCAGTAGTCAGCAGTAATTAAAGAGCACTGGCCAGAACTGACCGCCGTGCGTGGAAACAACAGTCGGCAGTGTAATTAAATGCGGCCTCAGAGCAACCTGGGCGACCGAGAGGCGAGTGCTGCAGCGGCACGGAAGCGGTGCAGCCGCCTTTAGCTGATGCAATAAACCACTGTGAAGACGGGCTCACATGCTGCGCGTGTGTGAAATGTGGACCGACGGGCCAGGGAGCTGAAGCAGAGCAGTCACAGAGGACGGGATGAGCGTGCTGCGCTGAGCCAATCAGGGATGGCAACACAACCCACTAACGAAGAGAGCCCATTGCTCAAGGGGCTCGAGTCACTAGAGAAAGGAAAGCCCTTATGTTTCATTTCCACACCTCCATCCATCCATCCATCCATCAGAGTTACAGGGGAGTTAGGTACTCTATTTCTTGATTGCAGCCAATGAAATAATGTTGGTCTTTCACTAGACTGGATTAGAGACAGACAAACCGCCTGTTTGTTTTGTATTCACTGTGGAAACAGATGCTCACATTCCTAAAGGAGCACGCTTACCTGTGAAAATTGACACGTGCATTTCTAAAGCAGTGTACTTCCCTGTGCAAACAGAGGCTCGCTTTCCTGAAAAAGCGTGTTTCTCTGTGAAAACTGACAGTCACCTTCCTAAAGCAGCATGCTTCCCTGTTAAAACAGGCGCTCAGGTTCCTACAGCAGCTGGTTCCCTGTGGAAACAGGCACTCGGGTTCCTAAAGCAGTGTGCTTCCCTGTGGAAACAGGCACTCGGGTTCCTAAAGCAGCATGCTTCCCTGTGGAATCAGGCACTCGGGTTCCTAAAGCAGCTGGTTCCCTGTGGAATCAGGCACTCGGGTTCCTAAAGGGCCATGTTTCTGAACTTGTCATCGTAACACAGACAGACACCAGCGCCATGGCAGTGCCAGACGCCAGCCGTGTACTGCTAACTGTTTCGTGGCAGCACTTATACTTGAGAGGAGGTGGAAAAGGAGGAATGCTGGGGCGACTGGCTGTTTAATTTTCATTTTACGTTTGCTTTGTGAGCTTTCCAGAAAAACATACAATTTCAGGTTTTGTGCTCTCTCAACTTTGCACAATAAACTGCACGTGAGACATATAATTTACACATATACCATACGCAGTGAAGTGGATAAAAACCACCAAGTTCAATACAGTGATCAAAGCAAAGCAATAACATCAAGTCGCTGTAAAAACAGGTGAAATCTTTGTTTTTCAGTCCACTCTGTGTAGAGCTGCAGCACACAGGCACCATACGACAGAGTAAAACAAGAGCATATACAAATTTGACTCAGAGAAAAAAGGCACCAGGATTTTCCAAGTTCCCCCATTTATAAAACATGTTCTTTTTAAGCATTATATATAAAAAAGAGCCCAGTAAACACAGTATATCTGTCTCCACCACTGAATATTGACTGAAGCACCTTTGTTTAAAAAAAATAAAAACTGTCAATATTTAATACAAATGCTAACAGATCACACTGCGGAGTCTGGATTAATAAAAAGGCAGGTAACAGCAGAGTGGGTAGCAGAAGCGCTGATCCAGCTCGCATGGACAGCAGAGACATCTGAGGACCACGTCCGTCCGCAGGATTCTGCTGCCACCCATCCTCCTCCTCCTCTTCCTTCTCTACTCTTCATCCCCCAGCAGTGTGGCTTGACTGAAAGCTGACACACGCCGATGCATGGCGCTCCCTAAAATACAGTAAACGGTGCTTCCAAGGATGCATCATGAGGGAAGTCAGCCACTGGGACGTTTAAGGCTCCCTCATCGTCTTTCGGGCCTGTAAGCCCTGCACCGGCCTGCTTTAGCCCCATTCACTCCATCCAGACTGGCTGCGTGCTGAGGTAGGAAGTGCCTCGGGGTCAGTTTCCGCGCTCCGAGGAGAGAGTCGCGAGTTAGCGAAGCGAGACGGGGTTTACGTGTGCTCGATGTCCAGCAGGGCCTTGGCACCGCGCACAGGGGGCTGTCCACCTCCAAGCAGGCTGCCAAGCCCCGGGGAAGGAGGACGCCTTGGTGGTGCTGCGGGAATCCACAGATAGAGACACGTCAGGCCTCTACACTACCCACCCCCCCGGCCTACAGTATACAGGGAGCTGAGCATCTGAACTGCAAAGAGTGCGAGGGACAGCAGGGGGCGTGGCGATTAAGGAAATGAGTCAGGACTCGGATGCCTGCGTTACATGCGGGTCCCTTGAGAGGAGCTCCGCTCTTACACCAGTGAACGAGGTCCTAAAGCTAAAGAGCTCCAGTAAAATGGCGATGGGATGGGGGGGGGGGATTATAAATGGGGGAGTGAAGGGAATTCATCATAATCCTCAGCGGTGGCTGGGCAGCATTTTGCTTAATAAAATGGCTTTTATGCCACGTGACGGAATGGCTGCAGGGATTTAAGCGTCTCCTCCATGTGACTGCGGGGCTGCCTAAAGGGGCTTCGCTTCCGTAAGCGGGCTGTAAAGCGCGGAGCCCGAATGGCGGCTGTATCCCCACTGTATCCACTGTGCTTCAGAACCGCTTCATTCACGACCTGACCTGCAATCGCTTTGCACCATTTGGATGTTAAATCGCTTGTTTAATTTTTCTAATTGAAATGCCTCTGGGGGATCAATGTGCTTTTTATACTGCAAGATCTGTAATTACACATTACTTTGGTTAAAAGTATATTAAAATAATTAGATTTTATCTGTACTGGAAAAATGAAGGTAAAAATAAAGAAAAAACAACAATGAACAAGAATCCATTGGGAAAATAGGACAATTACATGTGTTCCACACACTACTATATATACTAGTGGCTGTGGTAAAGTTGGGCAGCAGAAGACTACAACTCCCACAATCCTCATGTGGAACAGGTACCTTTTCCTGAGTTTGATTCTCTCCAAGATGTAAGTCGGAGAAAAACATCATGAAAATATGTTGAACACTTCACTTCCTGTTGGAAACACGCCCCCTTTCCGATGTTGATGTCGGAGAGAATTTTGTTGTATGAGAATATTTTAAAATGTTTACTTTGTTCAACATACTAATAGTTATTGCACATGGTTGATTTGCCTCGAAAAAATAATGTCGCTATGGATCTACTAAAAAATTATAAAGCTTTTAATGTGGTTTGACTAGTTAGTGTTTCTTGTTTGTCTGTCTCTCGGACAAAAAGAATCTCGTTCCAAATAGTATAAAGCAGCAACACACAAAACACAACAACAGCGTGTTTGTGGCGGCAGCCATGTTTGTTCCAAGATCTGTAGGTCGAATGGGAGATTGGCTGGATGTGAGGTCACGCACCTCAGAATGTATGACTTCGCCGAGATGATCGACTGCACCGATACTCACAAGCGCTGTCGGCGAGGAGGGTGCTGGACAGGAAGCTGCTCTGGCCGACGGAGGACGAGAAGGCAGCCAATCGGACGCTGCGGGACATGGCGTCTAACTTCTCGTCCTTATAAGGAAAAGGAGGAGTGTGGTAGTGGTTACCCCGAAAAACCACAGCAGAGGTGAGGTACTGGGGCCGCCGCAGCTTCAGAGAACACCTGACTGCCTTCCATGGGTAATCAGCACCGCTGAATGCGCCTGGGAGGAGCCACATGAGAGGCAATTTAAAGCCCCCTTCTTTCCGCTTATTTTTGGCAAATCACTTGCATTTATGGGAGGCAGCAGCAGCGCTCCAACCACAGACTTACTTTACGGTCATCGTGAACGCTGCGCTCCCACACACTTTCTGTACGCCTACGGGCAATTAGGCCGATCCAATTTCTACTGATGCTTATGCAAGTCATTTAGCCACGGATCGCACTATTTTAAAGGCGGATGGGGGTTAAACACCAGGGGGTAATGCTGCTAGGAAAGGGAATATCATAATATGACCAGCATCAGCATCTCACAGCTAGACTCCAGAAGAAACAGCCAAACAGGAGTGCGAACAATAAGGCCTCTCCTTTGACAGTATTACCAGCAAGGAAACAGATACAAAATACTCTAAAATCAACAACGTTTTGGGAAAAAACAGTAAGTAATATGTCTTTGAGGACGGAAAATAAAAGCTAGTGAAATGTGTGTAAATTAATTAAAAATTTAATTCAATTAATTTTTATGTAGTGCCTTTCCACGGTGCTTTACATGTGTGCGATCTTTAAGCCAGAATAATACAAAAGCAGGGAAAAAGGAAGAAAAGAAATGAAAGAAAATGACAACGAAGGAGAGGAATATACCAGCAAATATCCTCCTTATACAGTGATACCATGCCTGGTGCATTGTGGGTAAAACAATGAAGCCACAAACCCTGTACTCCTGGATCCTCCTTTTGGACGACTCCAGCTGGCGCTGCAGGTCACCCACGATTTCCCTGTACTTGGCATAGCGCTGCTCCACCACCTCCCGATGGCGCTGGGACTCCTGCGGACAGAGCCCTGGGTCAGACGGGGGTCCTCAGGGCGGAGGTGATGCAAGCCTGGGGCTGGCTGTGCAGTGCGGTGCAGTGCGGTGCAGTGCAGCCAAGCAGTTTAGGTACTGACTATGCTAATGCGAAAAATGCTGTTATGTTTTACTGGCTTCAGATACCAAAGCATTATGAAATGACCGTCCTGCTTTTAGCGCTGGCCCTGCTTCGCTCCATCCAGCCCATAACCGATTTGCCAGTACGGGTTTGCAGTGACCCTGGAGGCAGGGGGGCCTCACTGCATGGCTGCTTCCCGTCTTCGGACTGCGAGAGGAAGCCGGAGTATTCAGTGGAGGTCCACACAAACACCGGATAACATGCAGAATCGACACACAGAAGGGCGTGTGGGAATGGAAGCCACGAGTCCGTAAGCAACCACATTCACTGAACTCATGCCATCTTAAGTGTGTATGAGACTCACTTACCCCTTTGTGGGGACCTATATGTCCCCATAGTATGGTAAAGCCAGTTACTTTTTAGCTTGTTTGGACAATTTCAAAACCTCAGTTTTACAAAAATCAGTAACTGCAATCAAAAAACTTTTGTATTTAGTTTGGTTGCTTATGTAAGGTTAGGGCTGGGGTAGTAGTTAGGGTTATCGTAGCTTAGGGTTTTGCCATTAGTAATGAAATGAGTCCCCATAATAATAGGAATTCATGAACTGTGTGTGTGTCTGTATACAGACACCAACCATTATGCAAGTATGACGAGATTAACAAATAAAATCAGAAGCTGCTCACAGCCCCCAGGCTGAACATGCTGGAGGTGAGAGTAAAGCAGCAGAGAGTGGTACCGCCCCACCCAGCTCCCGTTAGGGAGGGGGGCTGAGCAGAACGTGGGCGAGCTGTGTTTGAGCATCCAGTGCGGCCTCCAGTGCGGCCTCCAGAGGCGGCCAGACCCAGAGCAGTCAGGCTGACAAACGGACTACCCAGGCCGCCCAGCACACGAGTGGCGGCCTGGTGCTCTGAAGCCCGGCTCTGGGCCCCTCTGGGCCTCACGGCCCCTCTGCGGCCAACCTGCCTGTTCAGACACGAGCGAGCCACACTGTGTGTGGAAATGTGTGTGGCGCGGCGGGCGAGACAGTGAGCCCAGCGGACCACCTGCACAGTGGCTGCAGTGTGAGGGCTTCCTGGGGAGAGCTCAAAGTCAAGGGCCAAGTCCTTATTAACATTATTACATAACGTTAAATAACAATTATCACATCGATAAAACAAAGCCGCTGCTTTTCTCACCTCAAGGTCCTTGATGTTTTCAAGTAAACTCAGCTTCTCGGGCACTGATTCCAGATGATCCAGGGCTAATTTTGTACTCTAAAGGGAATTAAAATACATATATTACTGGGCTAGTTGAGGTGTTCCAGGAACAGATGGATGCGAGGGGTTTCTTGAAGGTTGAGAGCGACTCTGATACACGCGCTCCAGCAGCATGCAGCCTGACAAATGCTGCTCGGCTGATGGGCTTCTGTGAGTTTAGCACGCTCACGCTCCCTCAGGAGTGCTGCGGTAACATGAGGGGAGTCCCAGGGCCGACAGAATGCCAGAGAAACGGCGTCACCGTTTCCCAGGGAGAGAGAGCCGTGTGAAAGAATGGGGTTACGCCACGGAGAAACGCCGGCTGAAGAGCCGGGCAGTACTGTCTCTCCGATAAAGCAGGGAATAGAAAGCGCTTTCCATCCATGAGACCGTGCGAAGGCAGCGAGGTCCACAAGCTTTAGCAAAAAGGGCTGTTTGATCTGAGGTGATCACGTTTTCCGTTTACGCTACATAATCCGCTCCTTTCACAAGCTGAAAGCCAGGCCTAACGGCATGGCTGCTTACTCACTCGGCCAGGAAGCCGCAATTTACAGGACCTGATGTAAATATTGACAGGCTAATTGGGAGGCCAAAGGTCAGACACGCTCGCAAATTCTCCTGGGTAAACATTTTCTTTAAAAATGGAGAACTTCTGGATCGTAAACGGGCCTGTCTCATAAAAGCATCGCCTTTACTGTTGAAGCTGCTGAGAATAACTGATCTTCAGCCCTAACGGAGATCAATAGCATGTCGGCGGCAGTGATCGAACGGGACTGTTATTATGTACAGTCAGGAGGCCTAATCTGCCTCTCAGGTGTGCTATTATTGCCGCAGTCAGGCTGTGCTCCATACCTACACGAGGCATACTCTCAGGCAACACCACATCACAAAGCAGTCTTAGGGGTGCGATTTGGCTCACAATTTAAGGCCAGGTCACACTCTGACACTACTTACATGTGTAAGTGTTATGAATTTGTACTTTAGGCATATGCCATACCATAACTGTACATAGACATATGTAGTGTGTTTGATGGATCGTGAGTTTTACATAATTAAAGTTCATCTCTTATCTAACGTGATCACCACACATTATTACTGCTGTTTTTATAATCATTCTGTCAGAGGTAAATAAGATCAATAAGAGATTTAGGCCGAGTGCCATGACTGCAAAGGTCACCTTGTTAGGGCAGGTCTTCCTGTGAGGTGGTGAGCAAGCCCAAGGTAAGACATGTCGGGTCAGTCATCTGTCAGGCACTTTGGGGGCAGTTATGGGCTTAAGGGGCTTGTACAGTGGCCCGACGGCCATATTACTCAGCAGTCATGGGATTCAAACCAGCAACCTTCCGGACATGAGCAAAGGTGAAGCGTGTGAGGCTGTCAGCTTTTTTGGGTGATGTCACAGCAAATGATGTCACAGCATAAAATAAAATCACCGGCATCTGACAGTCAGGACACCTACTACTGAATGTGAGCAGCAGTGTATTTTACAAAAATCACACAAATCATTGAACATCGTATGTCCTCTTACCATTTCCAGATCCAGTATTCGATCCTGCAAAGACAGGGGAATGTGTTAACAAGTGCTGGGGGGGGGGGGGGGGGCTCGCTCTCGTGCCCAGGGGATGCTCCCTCACCTGTAGGCTCCTCATCTCCTCATCCTTCCTGCGCATCTCCTGCAGTAGCTCTGCAATGAGAACCTGCCGTCAGCAGCATGCGGAGGGGACACCCAGGTATCTCAAAAGCAGGGGCACAGAAACCAGCGGAGGAGGGACAGAACTTTCCGGAAGCTCAGAATGCTGTTCATACAGGCAGTTTGCCAATGACGTAAGTAATCTGTTCCACAAACCCTTAGGTAAGTCAAACTTTTTAAGTCGGATTTACCCCCCCCCCCGCCCATACCATTTGAGACACCTTATAGCAAAAGCACATAAGGCAAAAATATACTAGCAATACGTACTAAAGAACACATATGAAATAAATGAAATCATAAAGTGTGAACTCTATGCATCTTGAATATTTTTGTGTAAACTGGATTTATTTAAGTATGTTAAGCTGTCTGTATGTTTTCTACATTCAAGGATGTTACCCAGAAAATAGGTAAATTATTCCATTACACTGATTCACCAAGACCCACAAATGCAAACATCCATCCATCCATCACAGTACAGTGTCGTGGTGAGAAACCGCAGGACACAGGGAAGGAGAGCCCAGCGTGTCACAGTGTGCGTCACAATGGATGTTCCTCTCTTTTCCCCAAAAGCCAGCGGTGTGGCAGGACTACACCTCCCCAGCCTGTAAGCCTACAGCCTTCCCTTTATAAAGAGTAAGGCCGTGACCGCCGAGGCCCCCTGCTGGGCAGAGGTCACAGTGCGCGCGGGGCGTCCCCTTCAAATGGGCGCCGAACTCCGACACTCCCCGCAGGGATGCGGGGGCGGCCGGCGGGAGCGTAATGACTTTCGATCCGGCGTCTTCAGCTGCGTAGTAGGACACCATTACCGTCTGCACATTGTGGCTCTGCTTAGAAAATGGATTTTTTTTTTCCCCAGAGAGTTTGAAATTCAAGGCGATTAAAATTATAATTAGAGAGTGCCATTAAACAAAGATGCACCGCAGTGAGAAGCCAATCAATACGGCGGTAGCCTGACGCAATGGCCCATGCACCAACGCCTCTCACATCTCACTCCCCCCCCGGCAGCAGCTTACGGCACCACAGACGCGCCTCTTCCGCCCGCGAGGTTTCCAGAGAGTCGTGGGACCGCGGACTCCACATGAGGGGGTCAGTTGTATGAGCACCTTCCAGAAGATGCTGACTTTGGAAAACACAGCCTATTTCTTAGCTGGCTGAGTACTGGGGTAATTCTGCCATGATAAAGATAACCTGAGCCCGGCGCTCATTAGAAAAAAAAAACCCAATATAATGAGAATTTTACGATACTCAGAAAACACCCTCGGTAATACCTCCGATGGCCCTGAGCTTTTCACTGCGGCAGTTTTTGGAAATATAGAAAGATGTAATTTACTGGCATTTTCCACCAGATGCCTTTTTAGTTGGTAACCTGTAATAACTCTGGTAAATGGTTTCTGTACAGTTGAAGAGTACCATTCCCTTAGTGTCGTGCATTAAATAGCACCCCCACCTCCCAGAAACTTTTTGACAAAAAAATTTGAGGCAGTTTCCCACACAAACTCCAACACAGCTAGGGACTTGAGCTCCGCTCCCTCCCCCTGATGCAAACACCCCCCCCCCCCCACCCCCAGGCGCTAATGTGTGCCTGCAACGTGTCACACCTCAGAAACCCAGAGCGTAACGTCCCATCAAATTCACACCCCATTCGGCACCGAGGGGTGAAACAGTCAGCGTCCCCTTGCTGTCCTTAGGGACACGGTTGTTTGAGGACATGGACGACATCGCTTCAAAGGGCCAGCCCATGAGGTGACGAATCAGAGACATGCCTGGGCGTGGTGATTGCGCCGAGGTGGGAAGACACACCTCTGTCATTCACCAATCAACAAAAGCACATAAGCGTGAACCAATCACGGTACAACACCAAACGTAAACAAATAAATATATAGGAAATGTATCTGCAGCACTGGTACATTTACATTTTATTATGTAACAGATGCTTTTATCCAAAGTGACGTACGCTTGAGAAAGCATGCTCTAACAGTAACCTCACTCTGCTGACCTCTGCATTTGAAACAGCAACCTTCAGAGTGCCCGTTCTTGCTGAGTCACACAGCGCCCCCTGTTGGGTCACGGAGTGCTGGCCTCCCCCTCTGACATTACTAAGGAAGGTGCACCTTCCCCTAAGGCTGCCAACTGTGCTCATTTGGCTCGGTGAAGAATCGCTGCACGAAAAGTGTAATTTCACCGCTGCACCGCAGAAGATGGGCGGGGTGCAGGAAGCGGGCCGCTCTGCCGGAAAATGATTCCCAGCTCACGGGCCATCGAGGCGCCGTTTAGGCGGATGGGGCCTTTTGATGCCTTTATCTGTCACGGGTGCCACGGACGGCCGCGTCAGACCTGCCGATAACCGGACGGCCCGCGCTTTATCATGGCGACGTGTCGTGACAGGTAACGATTTCCCCATAAAACAAGTGCAGCATGGTGGGGGGGAGCTGGGAGGCGGGCGGGACAGAAGAGCGACCGCCGCTGCGCAGGCAGGAGGACGGCCCTTAAGGACGGGCGATCTAATGAAAGTGAGCGCGACGAGCCCGGGCCAGGGGCGGGTGAGGCATATACAGGCCATGTGAGAGACAGGTACCATCGATCAGCATCCCGTGTGGGGCGCCGGAGGCACTGCAAGGGGCGGGACTAAAGGAGAACCACGGCAGGAGCAGGAACAGCACGCTCACTCATATGCTAAAGGCCAATAACGCATCAGCTCCCCCAACAGGGGCCTGTCACCATGCAGCAATAAGCAGAGCGCCCTCTTGTGTTGATGACAGTACACTGCAGCCTATTATGAACCCTACTTGAACCTGCAAACTGTGATACGGTGTGGTCGTTTGACGAAGCCAGCCGTTTCATCATCCGCCCTGTTAAGTCGACCATCCAAACACCTGCCACATTAATTCCAGCCTCCGACAAAGTGTCCCTGCAGAGGCGTTAAGTCTCCGCCCCTAACTGCCCTAAAGTGACCACGGTGATGACACTCACTTGAGTGGATGCTACTTAAAAACTAACAGATGTCCTTCAAAACAGTCACTGGGCAATGCTAATTATAAGGATGATTATGTGCTCAGTAAACAGTTTGCTTGCTGGCAGAAGTTTGCTTGCTGGCATGGAAATTAGCAGAATTCCAGAATATTCACATAATAGTCATTATTGCATCACAATAATCACAATGCTTTGGTAAACTCAGCACGTGGTTTTCAGTTTGTAAACCTCAAAGAGGCTTGGCTGCTACACAAGAATCCCTGACCAACCCAGACGATTCTGTCACACTTCTGTCTTGGACTAGGAAATATGGATTATCCCTAAGCAACCATTACAGATCTGCCCCACTTCTGTCCTGAACTGATAAATATCGACTCTCCCTAATAAACACTTACAGATCCATTCCTCTTCTGCCCCGCAGCGGTAAATATTGACTATCCTTAATAAACCCTTAGCAATCGATTTCTCATCTGTCCCGGACCGATAAACATTGACTATCCCTTGCCGATATTTCTGACACGGTCACAGAGCCAGACATTCAGCGTGAAAAGTGCACTGTGAACACACAACATTCCATGTGAAAGAAATGGCTGTACTCAACCAAGAGTCACTCCCAGTGTAGAAAGTATCGCCAAGACTAAAGGTGTTAATACACAATAAAAGGACACTTTTGGAGGATTTCAGGATCAAAGCAGTGTGGTTGAAGTCTAGCAAAATACTGTAACCCATTACAGCAGTGAGTATCTGAGCACTGTAACCCATTACAGCAGTGAGTATCTGAGCACTGTAACCCATTACAGCAGTGAGTATCTGAGCACATCTGCACTGCTAAAATCAGCCTCTCAAACCCCCCGTTTTTCAACGCAACCCTACATCATAGTGGGACCCGTGCCCTGACAAGAGCTCCCTGCACGCCTGGTTATCCACCCAAGGAAGGCCATGTAGAAGAATGCTTCAGACAGAGCCCCAGGTGTATCAGGGCTTTCCAGCGAGTACCGTAACGGTGTAAGAAAAGGACATGGTGTATTACCAACATACAGAGTCAAGATAAAATGAAAAACAGCACATTCACCGCGTGCAGCCCTTAAGGATTTAGGGCTCTTTTTTGTTAGCCATGCTACGCTATGAAAGTGTTAAAAATCCAGAGCTTTTCTACTGCGCCAGCTATGAGATTCCTGAGATTAAGAACAAAAAAACTAATCTGGAGGCATTTGGACACCGTGTTCCGTAGCAGTGCTACCAAAACAAATGATGTCCACTAGGGCGGCGCTGGGAATGTGCCTCTTACCACCCTGCAGTTGAGGGCCCAGTCAGGGTTTCTGATTGCAACAGAAAGTCACATCAATCCAGCTGGGTCTCTACAAAAAGCAACAAGGCACACAGCACACATGAAAATTGTGTTCTCTGATCAGTTCTTCACCATCTTTAAGTATTTCGGGGGGAACGGAGGGGCTCAGCAGGTAAGGACGCTGTGTCTGATCAGAAGGTCGCCAGTTCGAAACCCAGGGTCAGCAGAGTAATGTCACCATTGGGCCCTTGAGCGAGGTCCTTAACCCCCATCTGCTCCAGAGACAGACTGACCCGGCTTTTGTAAAAAGGTATGTTGCATCTGCTTAGGGGGGCAGCATGTGGCTCAGTGGGCTGTGCCTCTATGCCTGTGATCGGAAGGTCACCGGGTCGCGGCCTGGCCTTGGCAGAATAGTCACGTCTGTGGGCCCTTCAGCGAGGCCCTTTAACCCCCAGCTCCATGGGCCCCGCTGCAGGTGGCTGCCCTTCGCTGCCAAGCTCACTCGCCCCTACATATGTGTCTGTATGTAATGGAGAGCCAGACGGGGTAGGTGAAAAGAGAATTTCCCCACAGGGATCAATTAAATGTCATTATTATAAAATAAATAAAATACAAATGTCTGAAACATCAAAGCAATGAACAGGGAAGAAACAAGTTTAAGGGGTAATCCATGAGATCAGTACCAGTTCAGCTGACGGACACGCACAGCCCGAGCGGGATTCAAACCCATAACCCACCAAGTCTGTACTTAATCATCACAGAAAAAATTATGACTATTTTTGAATCCCATGTATGAATGGTGAAAACAGGAAGCATGCATACAGTCTGGACGTGATGGATTTAGGCTAGCAGGTCAGCCTGTGTGCATAGGCATGGAAAGGAAGGTTAACAACACAGCCGCAGACATCCTGCACAAGCACTACGCTTGTGAATACGCTGGCGCACTCCTTAACTAAAGTTAAAGCCTGCAGAGTTTGGGCAGATGGGCCTTCCTCCCAGAACCTGTCTGAGCACGTGAGGGCCGTGTTCAGGGTGGGGCAGTGCGGCTTTACACGGAGACAGCCGGCGCACTACAAACGAAAGCTTAGACGGTCAGCATAAGCCCCGTCGCCAGCAGGTAAACACTGAGGATAGACTCGTACAAGACAAACCGTTTGTGTTGCAGGCAATCGATCATGTAGAAAGCGAGTGTACAGATGAAGGTGTATTACTCGCGCAGAGACAGCCAGAGCAGCAGCCTCGCGGCCGTGCGGGAAGCAGACATTGCACCCTCTGACGGATGAATACCCTGCAACTGAAAACAAACACGCGGCATTCAGCCTTTGTGGCGCCCAGCCCTCGCCTCATTTCTCCGGCTCTGTCTCCCGGAGGTCTCAAGACGGAGCTCGTGCATTTAGGGCTTGTGTTGATCAAACGGGGCGCCGGCTGAAAGCCTTTCAGGTGGGGCTGAAAAGGAATGAATGGTTATTTACCGTGCTTTCTCGCTCCCTTTGTGCCGTCGAGACAGACTTCAAGGAAGAGAGGGGGAAATGAAAGAAAGAGACGAACAGGAAGACTCCCACATTCGATATTCAATCAGGAAAAGGGCGATCTTATGTGGACTCATTTGTATTGAGATTGGCCATTGATCCAGGCTACGGGAGCACTGGGAATACCTAAACAGGTGTGCCTCTCGTCACGGACATCAGACGGGTTCAATCCGCCTCAATGAGCGCCAGCCCATGACCCGCGATCCCACCTTCACGCCAATCCTCGGCCATAATGCCAATTTAATCAAATCTCCAGCGAAAGCCACTGAAGCAAGTCCTTTAATCTGGAGGCCTCCCATTCCGTCCCATCGTGGGCAAGAAGGGCCTGCCTGAGGGTCTCGACGGGGACTTCCGGAACCTTCCGCCATCTCAATGTTAAAGAGAGGGAATGGGGGTGGAGGGGGTGCTCAAAGAGACAGGCAAAGGTGAAGTACATTTATCCTGGTACTGAATTTGAAATCGGTGTCCCGGGACCAACTCAGTGGGCGAACGGCAGCACGGAGCAAGGGACCTTGGCGTGCCCGTACCGGACCGCTGGGTGTGTCACCTGATCACCGTTCCGTGACTGAGACTGGCAGCCAGAACGCAGTAATGGGTTCTGTGTACTCAACATGGTGGAGGACCAGGGCGTTAAAATCTCAAGGAGAGGAAAGACAACCCAGATGGAGAAACAGGAACAGGGAACAGGAGGAAGATGAAAAATAGGGGAGGGGAGAGTGGGAGGGGCTTCATAGACATCGGGCAGGGCATTGGAGGAGGGGAGAGTGGGCGGGCTTCATCGATGGGGTTGGGGGGGCTCTAGGAGAAATTCCCCCATGCCGACCTCATTTTCCACATCAGCTCTATCCCAGACCAGCGGTTTGGGGCTGCAAACTCGCCCTCCCGCCTGAGCCCCATTTCCGCTACGGTGAACTGAACAGGCCACACTGGCACCCCCCCCCCCCCGATACACTTTCTCTGCTGGCTGGATGGGGTGATTCCCGGCTGGGAAGCTGTAGCTACTTTCCAAGGATTTAAAGAGCACAGAACAGGCTTAGAGAAGCTGGCAACTTCAAAGCTGACCGAAAGTACCCAAAGACTTTTTTCCCCGAGTGGTGCTGTGTATGCACACGCTTATGGACACGCTTAACACACAAGCTATACTTAACACCAGCACACACCACATATATATAGCACTTTAGAAACATGCTCTGTGGATTTAGTAGGAGCCGCTGATTAACAGCCTGCATGAGCCTCTGCGATGGTCACTCTGACAAAGAGCCTCTGTTCTAAGAAACAAACATTTGCCTTGAGGATCCGCAGCGTGGGCTCACATGATTACATTTCACTCACAGATTGAGCCAGCCTTCTGTTCTTTTCAACAACATATTGCACTCCATCCTTCCAAGAATGAGGAAAAACATATAGATTACGGATAATTGAGGCAATTGATAAAAACAGAATAAATATGGAAGGTGGTGATGGAGAGAGCGATGGACAGGAACCAGGCAGAATTTGTAAAAGGAGATGATCGAGGATGCGGAGTTACACTCAGACGACGCCCTTTATATGGTGCGCTACTGCAGCTGCAGCATGCCCGTCATATGCACAGCAGCCACCAGGGGGCAACTATGTAAAGGAAGGCATTTGCTCAACGAGTCTCCTAGTGAAGCCCAATGCCTCTCCCGGCTGGGTGTCCAGAAAGCCTGGGGCTACAAAGGGCCTATGGTGAACCTGTGTGGACATGTAGGTACGGCCCTACCTCTCTTCTCTCCATGAATGTCCTGCAGGAGGCGCTCCTGTTGAGTGATGCGCTCCAGGAGGACCTGCTGCTCCGCCTCTCTGCCCTGCTTCAGGCCCTTCAACTGCTCCCGTCCCTGCTGGAGATGGCGTCGCAGTTTCCTCTCCCGGCCCTCGCGCTCCTTCACCTCCTCACGGAGCCACTGCAGCTTGGTCTGTCCCAACCAGTGTGAGCACACACATGGTCAGGTGACCCGTCGGAGCCAACCAGCATGGGCACATTTGGTCACATGACCTATGTGTCAACCAGTGTGGGCACATACACGGTCAGGTGACCTGTCAAAATCAACGAGCATGGACGCATATGGTCACGTGACCCATCTGTGTCAACCAGTGGAGGCATACACATGGTCAGGTGACCCATTGGAGCCAATCAACATGGGCAAGTATGGTCACGTGACCCATGTGTGCCAACCAGTGCACACACATGGTCAGGTGACCCACCAATCAACCATTGCACATAAGATCGTGTATCCACCACCAAGCATGACTGTACGTGGCTAACTCCTGCACAAAAACTTTCATTTCACCTTGGTTGTACCAAGCTGATTTCTCACATTTTAGCGAAAAAAAAGTGCATTATTCACACAGCAAACGCTTCACATACATGAAAAAAAGCTCACAGAAGCCTCGGTGCCTGTGAGATACAGGCAGTTAGTAGGAAAAACCTCAGTTACAGGTTGATATTAGTGACTGTGGGGGAGGGGGGCATACCTTGGTCTCAGCCAGCCAGCGGTGGGGGTCCTTTTGAAGGCCAGGGTTCAGGGAGATTGCCTGACAAAACAATATCCAAGCATCATGCTCTTTCAACTGAGCCCCATGCTGTGGTTTACAAGTGATCAAATTAAGTGTGTCAATACTCGCCTCACAGACTCAGGGTAAATTTAACTAATTCTCTAAACTGTGTGATGACCTTTACAGATTTGCTTTTAAATAATCACAAAGCCAAATCAACAGGGCGACAGTCAAACAAAACGACACACTTAACAATGTCAAATGAAAAATACACGCAGCGGCGAGCACTCGGCACACATTTTCCCAGACTACATACGAGTGTAAAATCCATTTCAAAAGAGAAATATTAATTCTCAAAAAATAATTTATTTTCTGAATAATGGAGCCTGTTTCCATTAAATATTCATGCAGTCTTAATGCTGATACAGCCTGAATTTTCAATTAAAACACCAAGAAGGAAAAATTGCTTCCATCGATCGTTCCAGGGCAGCCCTCAGCAGATCATTAAAATGACAGCTCTATGACTGAAGAGCAGCAGTACACCTCCAGCAGGTGGCTGACATGCTTTCCAAATTACTGCCTTTGACACACCACTTATTCAGGAACTCGAAACAGGCGAAAAACTGCTTATTTTCTAAAATGACAATGGGCCTGGATTCAGTACTAACTGGCTAATAGCAGTAATGCAGGGAAATACTCAAACACTTTGGTTTGAAAAGGGTATATGGGGGTCATATACCGGGGGGGCTGCCTTTGTCCAGCAGTAGCCCAGGCTTTGTAAACTGAGGCCTATGCAGTCAGGCTAGGATCGCCAGGCTTAGTCCACAGCTCAGATAGAACTACTCACTGGGAAACCCTACAAAGAGAGATGAGTCAGTGACTGGGAGTCCCAGAAAGGAAGGCCCACAGCAGGCTGGGAAACCGGGTGTGCTGGCAAGTGGCGTGAAAGCAGCAGCTCAAAGCCGGGATTTACGGAGCATCCTGAGGCAGAAGATAGTGGTGGGTGGATGGATGAGTGGGGAGGGGAGCCGTTTAGAGGAGCCCACATCTGCTATGGGACTACAAATCGCCGACTTAGCATCCCACGGCGTCACGTGGCGACACGCTGTGTCCGCGTGAAGAGCCGGCCCACGCTGTCGGTCTCCACTGCGGCCCGGCGCTCCGCTCACAGCCCCGCTGTCTGCTCAAGAGACGCAACGGCACCCCCGCTACACCGTCTGCGCTCCCTGAGAGACTCCTTCTGAAGCCGGCAGAAGGCGGGTGGAACCAAAGGAGGCGGGACGACAGGCAGAGGATGCGGCGCTTTGGCGCCAGGCCGCGTCTCTCGCAGATCAAAAGCGCCCCCCCCTGCTACGCAGAGGCAAGGAGCAAAGCTGTACAGAGAAACTTTAAACACGACAGGGAAGTGCTGAACGGTGTCGGTGACTAAACGAAAACAGCAGGAAGACGGGGGTAGAGTCGTTCTCATGCCTGACCGAACCCAGAGTGGGGCACAGGGCCTACCTTCAGCTTCTCCTCCGATTCCCTGGAGAGCGCCAGGCAGGCAGATTCGATCTCTGCTCCCACGGCACCCAGGACAGATTCCCGCTCCGCCTCCAGGCGGGATACCTGCTCGCGGAGCTCTGTGATTGTGCCGTCCATGCCGCGGAGGTAATCATCGCTCCTAACCACCAGCTTCGCCTGTAGGGGGAGACAGGAGTCGGCGGTGATCCGCTGCCTCGCTAGCTCCGCCCCCTGGGGAGAGGCTCCCTGATGTAAGTCTCCAGGAAGGATGGGAGAGGCCTGAAGCTCTGACCGCCCGCTACAATCATCTAGCTCGGGCGTGGCGAACCTGATCCATGGACAGCCGCTGTGGGTGCGAGTTTTTGGGATGACCTCTCAGCCAATAACAGTGGGTCCCCGGGACTGGAGTTGGGAACCACTGCTTTATTACTGGCTGGCCATCCTAAAAAAATCTGCATGGATCAGGTTCGCCACCCCTGATCTAGCCGGTCAGATCCCAGGATGTGGCATCCTGAAAGAGGGTGGAGGAGGAGGAAAAAGGGAGGAAATAAAGAAGGGGAAAAAAAAACAGGCACCATAACGACAGCACAAATGGATAGCACCTGTAAGTGTTGATGTGTGGTATTCTGGTAACTTAGGTAATATAAATATCACAGGGTGCACACATGCACATGCTCACACCCCATGGACAATACAAAGATGCCAATTAATCCAACTGCATGTGTCTGAGCTGCATAAGAAAACTGCATGTTCTCCCTGTGTCATGCAACTCCACACACACAAGGTTGGCAGTTAAACTCACAACCCACTGGGCCAGCATGATGCCCCGCAATGACTGGGGCGCTTAACCTATCAATGTAATCGATGAGAGCCGATGCAACTGACCGCTCACGATGGCCCCCCACCAAGCTTTCAGATGCGGGGTAGAGTCTCCAGCTACTCCTACTGTGACCTTCAAAAATATGCAGTGGTACCTGAGCCCAGAATAGCCTATAAGCTGCACTTTGGGGGGACTCAAGCTACACCAGCTGTCAAAATTGGAGCGAAATACGTACAAAGAGCGATTGGATCTATTAGCAATTTGGCACACGGTGATAATTAGAGAACATTTTTATCCCCGGTCTCTAACAGGGAGTTGTATGGAAACTACATTACAGTAACAGAAAGGTCCGACACCCTCTCCCTGTAACCATCTGGTGTTCTCAACGGAAGCCGACACGGCCCGGCGCGTGAAGGCGCGTTCCTCAGGGGGCACAAACTCTTGCTAAAAAGGGAGAGAGCGAGGGATGCCGATAAAGACTGAGGCATCTCACTCAATCAAAAGCTATTTAATTTCCTGAAAGGCTGATTGAGACACAATATTTCCCAGCCAAAAAAAAAAAAAACATCCCAGACTTGATTGAATGTCTGAAGATGATTATATCTTTTATTTTGAGGAGGAGGATAATTTCGACACAGAATCTGAGATTTCTCATACAACACATCGTCGGCACCCATCCCCATGTACCGTGATCACGGATCAAGAGCTCCAATCAGTGCTCTCTCTAAAGGGCCACTTTCACCTCTGGATATTTTGAACGACGGTTAGATTTATCCAGATGTCACGAGTGGCTGAGTTCAGAGATCAGCTCTCCGTCACACAGGTAAGCATCAGATGCTGTGAGCTGCTCTGTAGCCCTGAGGGGATGAGCAAAGGCCAATGACATCTTTACAGAGGGCTGAGAAATGTAGCAGCACAGCCCAATAGCCAGCTAAAGTCCTGACAAACCCTGTTAGCCAAGAAATCCATTAAATTACATTCTGAGTACTCTCCAAGCTTCAAGCTTTGATAAACTGGTTACTGTCAATTCTTATAATGTAACTTTAGATATGTATTCTGTAACGTTATCAAGCATAACACGCAGTTAAAAGACCCACAAATTAAAGCACAACCCCCCTTCTGTACCAACACATCAATCATTTGGAAACAGTTTTAAGATTAGGAAAATGTAACACAGAAAAGGATGTTAATTTGCTAAGATGAGAAAAACAAGCAGACACAATGCGAGCAGGCAGGAATTAAATAGGCAAGAAGTCTGCCAGCCAGAGCCAGGCTTCCCTGATTACTATACACTATATCACCCTTCTGAAAGCAAGCCTGGAATCACGAGAGAGAGAGAGAGAGAGAGAGAGAGAGAGATATTAACAGGCCAAAATGACCCAATCTACACAAAGCTCATTTTTCTGCCAGTCTCTGCTGCATTTGGAGCAAACTTTTAATTACTTTGGGCTTTGTTCTAAAGGTTTTCCTGCCTACCTCCCTCACTCACTCGGATTCTACGGAGTGCATTTTATATTAAACAATCCGGAATCCTTACTGATATGATTACAGTAAAGCTGCCCCTAGTATTAAAGTTTAATTTTCCGCGTATCATCAGATAAAAATTGCATTCCGATTACACCGCACTATTCAGATGATGGCTGAAGCCATTGTTGCAGGACTAACCGATAACTTCAGAGAAAAAAAAAAGCTTTTAGGAATTTCCCAGCCTCTTCACTGGTATAATAATCACTGTAAAAGCACCTTGTGATAAACCAGCTTGTAAAAACGTGATTTGACACTAAATCAAACAGCATTTATTAACTGATCTAATGAATAGATAATTGAAATAATTTGAGAAATGCACTGCTGATTTTCTTCTGAATATTTCAAAGTATGAATGCAATTATGATATTAGCCTTGTTCAAGCTACTATAATACACTCACAATGATTCAGGTTACAGTTCATTGGGGAACTGACCGTGTAGCTTATCACTTGTTGCCTATGAATATTTAATATTTGAGAACATATTCTTCTTTTGTTTTCCACAGAACGCTGTCCGAACAGATCTCAGAAGACCAAACATCTTGAACGTGCACCCTGTTAAAGCGAGCGCTATGATTAAAATAGGCATACAGACACAGGCCGTTATTACACAGTGACACAGTATAATGTTATCAAGCTTAGCATCCCAAACCAATCTGGACAGAGAAGCCTGTCATTCATCTGCTCTTCTTTAATTCACTCTCTCTCTTAGGCTTCCAAGATGCAGGGGAGCATGAAAGTTTAAACACTACCTTCAAACAACACCATGCAAAACTATGATGAAAGATACGACCACAACACAAATCTTAAGGGGAGGGGGTGCTGTCCAGTGGGGATTCCTAGCCAGCTAAAAGCTGTTGCATGACCACCTGCCTGTTTAGAATTAACTGGGGTCCAATGAGCAGTGTACCGCAAAGTCAAGTGACAGCTCTTCAGTGGACCATACCAAACACACAAGTGTGGGGGGTTTAAATAGGTGGTAATTTGGCAGGCTGAGCACAGGAGAGCAGTACTGTAGCCAAAGTACGCAGCACCAGCCACCACATGCACGTTTCAGTTCTGCTCTGACTCGGCATGGGGGCCGACACGCAGGTGTGAGGAGTCAGATCCGAACTCGTTCATCCGAGGCGCGATACAGCCACCTGCGTTTTGGTGCCGTGTCCCGGCATCTGAAGCTACAATGCGACTCAGTCAGGGTCCGTAGGACCATGCCAGAAGTGACAGAGACTCGGGCACCTCTGCAGGACGCCTGTGGTCTGGCTGCCGTGTGCCCTTCCCAATTACCCAATGAACACCAACGACTGTCAAGGATTCTGACAGAATCCACAAGGGATCGCCTGTCCACATTACAGAATCCTTACAAGGAGAATATCTCCTTGGGCATCAGAGAGGAGAGCCCGCCTGCCCGCCCGCCCGTCTCCTTGGTCACTGAGGGCGTACACATCGCCACCCGCTGCTGCATCCCCACGCCTGCTCTCGACGCCCCGCTCTCTCGAGTCCAAAACCAACTCCATCAACATGGTAAATCAAAGCTTGGGGTCCATAAATCAGGCAGACCGTGCTGAGCGTCAGCAGCGCGGTGGCTCTAGTCCCACACGCATACCGCAGCATCTGCGGCTTCCCGCCGATCCGGAACCGGGACGCGGCAGAGATGTTCACCTGGCACCAGGGCCGACCCTGGCGAGTCCCCTGATCGCTCCTCGCTTCACCAGTACTTTCCATTTGTATCACTGACATTTGAATTGTATTATCACAGCTTTTTAAATTTGATCTACTATTTTTTTTTCCTCTTTATTAGCATGGATGCTGCGTAGCACTGCTCTCCACATGCAAGCAAAAACCCAAAAGCTTCTTTTGTGTGTTAAACGCAAAATCGTTAACCCAAAAAAAGGATGATAACAGAGATGCTGTATACCTCGCCGTGGGAATAGGGAGTAGCACAGACACTCCAGCAGTTTGATTCATGAGAGCAGAAGACAGCGAGGCAGGTAATTAAAACTGATTATCTCCCCGGCTGCCACAATGCCGTCTCTCCTTACATGCGACTGATGGGCCAGATAACTGCCACATTACGTGCGCTCTGAGCGGCCAGCTTTCAGCAAGAATACTGATTCCTTTCTCCTTCCTCTGCACGCAATGGAGGTTGGAGGTTGTGCCAGGGTATGGAGACCTGTGTTAACATACAAGAGGCTTCTAAATAGCTAATGCTAAAGGATGTTAGTGTGCAATGGCTTTACAGGGACTGGCGCTAAAGCCTGGTAGCCTGCAGTGAACCTGGGCTAATGTATGCTGACATACGGCAGATTCTTACAGAAGCCGCTGATGTAATGCCGGTGGCTTTGTGTAGGTTTACGCAGAAGCAAAAACATGTTGCTAATGGGGGCTACTACATGAGTTTCACTGATGTGCTACGCAAAAGTTTTGTTGAGTGGTTTTAATAGTTACATAAATGTATCCTGGTTTCCATGTTTAACTTAATTACATGTTGCAGGCATGCACTACTGTAGGGGAAACCATAAACTTGAGAATGTGCTAACACAGACTAGCACATGCTGGCTTCAGTAGTTCCTGAAAAACAAACATGTGATCATACTTTTGTTCTACATCTGCATCAGTTTTTTTTTTATATATAAAAGTGCCAAACTCTTTTTCGTTTGATAAATGCTTATCTGCTTTTGAGCTTTGTTGCTTGTTAGTGAGTGAGTGGAAAACAGCGAGTGCGTAGGTGTGCGAGTCCCTCCGTGCACGTGACCCCATGCGTGCAGCCATGCCCACCAATGCATGTCCCCATGTGTGCATGCATGTGTCCCCATGCGTGCATGCGTGTGTACCAGGAGCTGAGCCCCCACCTTCTTCTCCAGGTCCTGCTTGAGAAGCTGGTATTTCCTACGCAGCTGCTCGCGTCCCTCCTCGGCCCGGGCCTGCTCCTCCGACAGCTTGTCGCACTCCGCTTTCATGCGTTCCACCTGCCTCCGGTGTGCCCGCACCAGCTCCCTATCTGCCGCCGCATCTGCCTGGGGGGGGGAGGGGCAGGGCAGTATGAAACACCCCGCCGGGCTGAGCTTCGTTACGGAACCTGGCCAGTGTGCTGGCAGTAGGCCAGGGACGTTGTGAAGCTGCTGGACTCCTGATGCACTGGCCTGGGGGAGCGGAGCGGGGAAAGGCCGGCAGCATAGGCCTGCCTGGAGCTTGCGAGATCCTACAGCTGCTTATGTTCCAGGAGCAAAGATCACGAGCAGAGTGGCTGTTAAAACCATGCATCAAACACGAGGTATTTGGCTAAACGTCAACAGTTAACCAAACACCACTCAAACGACCCAGACAGCACGGGTGCAACACCACCAGAAATAAAAAATATAGAGCATCTCCAAAGGGGATCTGTCACCAGTCAATAGGAAAGTACATCCAGGTGCACTTTAGAACAGAGGTTTGGAGACTGGAAGTATCTCTGGAGATAGGGGGCTGGTTACAGATATACTGTGTATATATGTGTGCATGTGTGTCAGATATACATTACATTGTTATGTATTTTGATGTTGTGGGGACCATTTTTTCAGTCCTCACAAGGGGAAATTCAATTTTATAAAAATCTGTGACTGTAATCAAAAAATTACAAATGCCAAATGACTTGTATTTTGTTTGGTTACTTATGGTTCAGATTAGGGATCTTGCAGATTTTGGGACGCTCGACCCCAGCGGCAGCAACACTGGAAGACCTGTGACATCACACGCTACCTTTAGCTGCTCCAGCTGCACCTCCAGCGCCTGTCCCTCCAGCACGGCCCGCTCCTGCCTCGCCTCGCTGTCCCGCAGCTCTGCCCGTAGGCTGGCAGACTCTTGCTCACGCAGCTCCTTCTCCCGCCGCAGCTGTTGGCCCAGGGACGCAGCCTCCTTCTGTGCCTTGTCCAGCCTCTGACGGAGTCCCGCCTCCTCCCGCTCCTCCACAGCCAGCCGCTCGGCCAGTGCTGCCCGCGCCGCGCTCAGCTCCCTCACAGACCCCTGCAGCTCCAGTAGGGCCGCCCGCTCTGCCCCCGCCTGCGCCTCCAGCACCCGCTTCTCCGCGCAGAGCCGCTCCCGCAGAGGGCCCTGTAGCTCCACCTGTGCTCCCAAGGCCCGCGCTGCTTCCTGGGCCTCCCGTGCCTCTCGCTCCACACTCTGGAGGCGGGCCCGGCTCTCCAGCAGCTCCTCCTCACGCCGACGCAGCTCCTCCTCACGCTGGGACAGCCTGGCCAGGGCCTCCGCCAGCTCCTTGCGGAGCCCCTCTGCCTGGTGTCCTAGGGCTCGTAGCTGTGCCTGAGCAGCCTCCTTCTCCTTAGCCGCCTGCAGAGGGGAGATAGGCTGCTTCAGAGACTAGTGGCCTGTCTGGGGCACCAACCTGCCAGCTTTCTGTGCTCCGCCCACGATGCCACAATGGTCACATGATTAAAGCAATAACCAAAATGTACATTCAACAGGATTTGTGCACTTATCGGTCAACAAATTTCTATGACTTTTCCAAGATTTTTTTGTTCAATCCATTCAGGACAAGTGTTCTAGTGTTATGGAATCATCATCATCGCATGACACCAATACAAGTATGTACTTTGTGTAGAGGAACCAGGTGTTATGATCTTGCATTTATTCATTAGATAGGAATAATAACAACAATAATAATGCCATATAAAAAATGCCATGGCGCACTTGTGCATGTAAAAATGTAGGAAGGAAGTTTTTTGGTTGTGTGGCAGCTGTTAGTACCGACGTGGAATTATAAGATAGACATGACTTGATACCTTTTCTTAAAGTGTTTATTTTATATTTTAAATGTGTTCCTTCCAGTAACCACTTAAATGATATATTTCTCTCTCTCTCGCTGTCTCACTCACAAACACACACTTATTTTTACATTGTCTGATACTTGAAATTGAACTTTACGCATTTCTGTATGTAAATTTCTCTGCTAGCTTGTACTCATAGCAGAGCATCTTTTTCACAGGTAGCACATTAAGTGTTTATATGCGAAGTGCACTGTGGTGTCTCAGAACACCACACACAACTGAATACACATACATTTTTTATATTTGGACTTCATATGGTCTTTATACATTTCACTCTTGAAGTTAACAATTATATACAAAAATATTTCTTTTAGCATTGTCCACAAAACCACACTAAATGCATGACGCTGACAACACACACACACTTTTTTTTGTTTAAATGTTTCAACTTTACACATTCTATAACATGTTGGGCACACTTCAAGATAACATTTCATTTCATTCTTTTGTGACATTTTTAATGCATATGTCACATCAGCGCAATTATAATGGCATGCATAAATACTTTGTTGTTAAGCACAAACTTTTACAAAGTAATGATAAATGTACAGAAATTGCTGTGTTTCCCCTAGGTTTACAGTTTTTTTTTGGGGGGGGGCATGGATTCATGGTGTTCATGTGTTTCTTTTAATGACAGCAGTCAAAAAAAAACGCAGATATTTTTCTCTGCTTTTCAGGCAGTTGACGCGACATATTTTCAGATGCGCGCTCTCTGTCAGCTGGTGGGAGTGTGCTCACCTGTGTGTGTGCATGTGCATATGCGCGCGCATCGGGATGGAACTCCGCCATGCGCGATACAGAGCAGTGACTGTGTAGAGACAAAAATGACAAGCTGTTGTGTAAATAAGATAAATAACATAAGGCTATTTAGTTTGTTTAATAAAAGGACAATATATAGACCTGTTCTATATGAAAGGTAACCTTAAATGACTTCTGTTGTGATCTGGCGCTATATAGAAAATAAAATAAAATTAAATGAAATTAACTTGACCTTCAAGGGGGGGCGGTAGGTGCCGTTGGGGGGGCGGGGCGTCCCCCTAATATAATGGTAGAGGAAACATTGGATTGTTACCTTTTACTTCAATTGTTCTAATTTAGACATATTCAGCATATCAGACACCCCAGCAAACCTTTTTGTTGAAATTTTTACAAATGTTGAGTATCAGTGGTTATGACTAAAAAATTAAATGTTTCATACGGTAATAAAAATGCAACACAAGAGACACAATACAGCAATGAATAATAATGCATTACAGACTGAACTCTTTGCCCCTGAATGGAAAAGTATTATCCTAGGCATATTTTAGTACTGAAAGACCTTTTTTACACATACATTCGTACCGCGTTGACGCAATATAAAAATGTATGTCACCACTGGTTTTTAAATATGTATTTTAATGTCAGTGCTCCGTAGGAAAGTGCAGTGTGGAGACGTATAAAGGGGAAAAATACTGTATCTAGAGGGGAAAATGCTGCTTGAGGGAGATGGGGTTATACTGCAAATGTCGATTTCAAAAAAATATATAGTTCTCAAAATTGCCATGACTTTTCCAAAACTTCCTGATATTTTCCATAACTTTTATAGGTTAAGGAAATGTGATTTCATAATTCCATGATTTTTCCAGGAATTTCATGACTGTACAAACCCTGATTAAACTGCTGTAAAAAGCCAACCATCTTTTAATGCGAAAGTGTCCTGACCTTGATCTCTCAAGATCTTTTGTCATACTTTTGAAGGTACTTTTTTCTCTAGGTCACCCGGCTAAAGGTCAAAACAAACCTAAACATAAACACCTTCTGTTCTTACCTGACTGTAAGGCTTGATTAGCCACACCAAACAAATGACTAGTTCATGACAAAAGACTAGTTCATGAGTTCAAGCTAGTCAATAATCAAAGTATCCGAGCAGTTAGAATTAGAAAAAATGGGCTGGTGCAGCTTGATCTGCTGCCTATCCACACCATTGCCCATCCAGCCTTTTGATCACGGATATGCTGAGGAATGGGGGGTGGAGGGTGGGGCTGTTTCACAGGTGAGAATGCAGCCAGCTCACTACACAGATGTTTAGTGCCACATTTACAACAGTGATTCTGTGTAAATTGGTGACCCAGTTCTGTCAGAGCATACGGCCCTAATGACTGATACAGACATAGCGTACAGGCCTGATGACTGATACATACAGAGCATACAGCCCTAATGACTGATACAGACATAGCGTACAGGCCTGATGACTGATACACACAGAGCATAAAGCCCTAATGACTGATACACACAGAGCATACAGGCCTGATGACTGATA